GCAGCGCTATGAAAGATGTTCGTTTCGAAGCAAATCATATAATAAGACTTTCTTATCTAGTTTCTTTGGGCAGTCGAATGAATAGAAGATCATGACTGTCGAAGCGACAATAAAAGAAAGGCATGTATTTAATTGGTCAGTAGAATATGTGAAATGGTCAGTAAGGAAAATAAATGCAAAATCAGTAAAATAATGAAATGGTCAGTAAAATTTGTGTTCGGTCAGTAAACTATATGTATGATCAGTTAACTTTATGAATGGTCAGTAAAATATTTAGACGATCAGTGTTTTACTTGATTCAGTACGTAGAATATATGAAAAGATCAGTAGAAAGATCAATGAGGGCAGTAGAAAAATCGAAATGTCTTATAGTATGATTCATCTTTTTCTTCTTTCGTTCCATTCTTCGTCCGTGTATTTGAAAACATTCATACGACTCGTACACGTCCATATCTATTCTTCGCCTTTCCGTCGTTTGCGGTCAACTGAATTTCAAGGACAAAACCGATGAACACAACGCAGGTTGCCCAATATGAAAGCGAATCGTCGGATGAAGAAACTCAGGAAAAACATACGAATGTTATCGGAAAAGCCAAGAGAAGACGAGAGTCGAAGTTTTGGATTGAAGAAGCTACTTATAATCATTCCAGTGAAGTGGAAGCATTGATCAAAGATGACTGGTCGAAACACTATGTGAACTATACTGAACGCGGCCGAAAAGTATATTATCGATGTAACAAGAAGAAGCGTCGTGGTCCTCAATGTCCAGCTAATATGTGTTTGTTGTATCACGCCGACACTGATCAAGTTACTTGCTATAAAACCGAGAATGGTCACGCACATGATGGTGATGAAATTCGCGGTGTTAGTGGAAAAGTTAAACAGGTCGTTGTTGAATTATACAGTGATGGTGTGACGAAGCCCAAGCAAATAATGCGAGCTTTAGAGGCGAGGAAAATGAAGACACCAACGTACGGGCAACTGAATAGTTACCTTGTTCATTTGAGAAAGAAGAAATATGGCTCACATCAAATAAGTCTTGGTGAATTGGAACAATGGTGTCAAGCAAATGAAAGTATTCCAACCAATGAAGATACAGCTTTTGTTGTATCATACGAGATAAAATACGATGACGAAGATGACGAAGACGACGAGGATGTTGAAGATTATCAAGGTAGTCGATTTCGTATATTCATTTCTTCTCTTCGCCTGCTCAATATTACGTTGTTATCGTCACATATCAATGCGGATGCTACGTATAAATTAGTTTGGCAAGGCTTTCCTGTACTTGTAGTTGGCACAACCGATCTGAAGAAATCATTTCACCCGTTCGGATTATCAATATGTTCAAATGAAAAAACGAAAGACTTCGAGTTTATTTTCAAAAGCATTCAGCTTGGATTGGTTAATACTAACAAAGGTCTATTCAAACCAACAGCATTGGTCTCTGATGCTGCAGATGCAATTAAGAACGGTTTTAGAAAGGTGTTTGACCATCCTTATGACGAAATAATGTGTTGGGCGCATATGAAAAGGAAAGTCAATAATCGTGTGTGTCACATCGATGCGAAATGCCTTGCCAAAGAAATTTTGGAAGATATCGAAATGCTTCAACTATCGAATTCCAAAGATCTGTTCCAATTGGCTTCATCATTATTTTTAAAGAAATGGAAGAACCTCAAACAAAAAAATCAGTCAGTTTTGAATTTCCTTGATTATTTTCAAAAAGAATGGCTGGAATCAAATGATGGTTGGTACGAAGGTGTTCAACTGTATGTGCCTAGTACAAACAACGCCTTAGAGGCGACCAATAGGACAATCAAAGATGACGGGACATTTCGAGAACGTCACACTTTATCTAGATTTCTGCAAATATCTTCAGATATTGTGAACAATTGGTCGAAAGAAAGAGATCCTTCCTCGATTAATGCAAAATTGTTCGCTACAGAGCCGGATATACCATTATCGTTATGGACATTATCTTATCAGTGGGCGAAATCAACGAAAGATGTTATCTGCGTCTCTAACGATTCTTCTGAAGCTTTTTATATACCGGCTCGTGATTTAACATAAATTCCACAAGCTGATTTAACCCGATACAAAAAGAAAAAGTGGACATCTTTCAATCTGTTAAAAAAATTGTTCGATATCTGGTGCATGGAAATGAAGAAAAGCGAAGAATGGACGAATGCAAGGTGTAATTGTCCAGCGTTTCTTAAGAATTACATATGCAAACACATTGTTGGTATGGCTATTCGTTTAAAACGCTGCAAACCGCCACCCGCAGCAAAAGCAGTACCAGTCGGAGAGAAGAGAAAAAGAGGTAGACCGTCAAAATCTAAGCCAGCTTTGTTGCTTCAGTGATTCGGTCATTACTGTTTACACTTCTGTTGAATGTTCTCTTGAAATTCATATTTTCTCTGTTCCTTTAATGAAATCTCCTTCTTTTGTGTCAAATATATCTTAATGAAAAAAAAATCTTTTTTCTACTGATAAAAGACAATATCTACTGGCCAAATTTAAATAAATTACTGACCAAATTGGATGTTTTTACTGATCGAATTTGTATTTTTTCACTGACCGAAGTTTAAATCTTACTGATCATTCGATAAAAATACTGACCAGTTTTCATTTAATTACTGACCATATGGTTACTGACCATTCAATAAAAATACTGACCATTTCTATATTTTTCCACTGACCATTTCACTTATTTTACTGACC